TATAGCATGTTTGCCACATCCGGTTGCAAGACGATTGAGAAGAAAGTCGCAATGGTCGTCAACGAGCTGAGAGCACCTTAATCTGCCGCAGTCATCCGTGTGATAAGCTCTCATTGGGCCTTATATACTTTTAATTTGTTTAATTATGTATATATATATATATGCACAATTCTATTTTATATTAAAACTGAATGAATCTACCAGGGATTCAGCCATTTGAGTCGTGAATCTTTTCGCAGCAGCTCCGTATCCAGGCGCTTGGGCTGCTTGTCGAAAGCTTCCCGGGCAGCATCGCGCACCTCAACAGGTCCAATGTCCTTGGTCACCAGGCACTCGCCGTTCTCCTTGAGTATCGTGTGCTTAATGTCCTGTGGCGTGGGCTCGCCGTATGGAAATGTTATGGGTGTCACTTTTATCAGATGCTTTATTTTCCATAGGCGTGCATTGTTTTCGGGTATGTTCTTCACCACGGTAAAATCGCTTTGTTTGCCATCCAGGCCCAGATCTTTGAGCAGGCGCTTCTCCCAGAACGGATTACCCTTAACGGGCTTTATGCGCTGCACCCGAAACAGCTTGGCAGGCTCCACTGGCGGATCCTGATGGTCGGGCGTCCTGCAAGTTGTGTGCTTTACTTTTGAGGAAATCGTAATGTGCCGGGTCTGCACTCACCTGGGATAGTATATAATATTCTCGTATTTCTTGCCATCTTTGTACAGGAACTTCTTATTGTGTTTGCCATAGCTGCGCGCCAGTGTCAGGTTTAGTTGCAGCGGCGTCAATAGCCTAAGGGAACTCATTTTATTTCACAAATATTAACAATTAAATAAATGAAACAACGATATTAGCAGCTGGGTTGGTTATGAAAGCGTGCCAGGGCTGCAGCGCTGTTTTGCCATTCACACAAAAGCTAACGTTTTGCACGCTATCGATAGTCATATTGCTGGTTAAGGTGTTGTAAAATACACAATTACAACTTTAAACAAAATCGTTCCATGAGCAAGACACTTTAGCTTAACAGAAATTAATTGTGAACACGATCTGAATATTTCTTAGTAACATTTGCATTTCTAGAAAACTGTTTCTTCATTCACACAACAGCAGTCGATAGCGCAGACTATCGATAATGAATTTACTGGTTCTAGTATTGTAAAATGCGCAAACTGGATTCATTGCCTAACCAACAGTTTTTTAAAAAGTTCAACTATGCTCAAAACTGTTTCCTAAGCTTGAGCCTCAAATTTAATAGAAATTAATACTTTCTTAAAAAATGAACCACTCGTTTGGTATGTTTTTATTCTATACGTGTTTGCGTTTCCTAATGACACTCACTGGTAGATGTATTTATTATTTGTTTATGCTTAATTTGTACAAAAATTCTTATGCAAATTGTTTGGCATCCTTCTCTGAGGGGCGGTAACTGCCTACTACTATTAGCATAATCGACGCCATTTTGTTATTCTGATTGGCCCTTGGCTCTGTTGGGATGCTGTGCTGCCATTGGCTCCGTTTGCCCACACAGTCCGGGGGTTGCAAATCCCTGCTTCGCCGCGCTATAAATGATGCTGCAACATCCCAACATGGACACAGTTCGGCGGCAAAGCTTTCCGCGTGCAGGACTACATAATTCGATATCTCAAGTAAATCGTGTGATTGCGATTCTTGTAAGTAAACTAAACCAAAAAAGGAATTTGTGATACATTTTTGTTGTTGTTGTTGTTAACATTTTTTTTTTTGCAAAATGTGCGTGAATGTTATCTCTGGAGAATTGCAGAATAATTATGTCAAATTTCCCGCAGCCCTTTTTGTGCCAGTTTTGAGTTAAAGCAAAGCCCATTAAACCGCAAATCACATAAGGGTTCGAATTTGTCAACTCCCGCGGGCCAAAATAAATGCCAAACGTGACGATTGTTCAGCTATTTGTGTAGGTGTGAAAATATGTTGGGAATAAACCCAACCAGAACAATAGCAACAAATGCGATAAGCACAATAAAAACAAAATTAAAATGCAAACAGGACACGTGACCCTCGGGCGCGGCCGGGCGGTAGGCAAACAAAAAGGGTTCGAAAGGGGCTGCTCACCCTTTTTGATCTATCCATAAATAATGCAACTCGCATTCGAGCTGTTTGCTATAAATGTGCTGCCTTAGGGGCGTGGCAGGTGCGGGGGCGTACGAAAAACTGCAATCAAGAACATCTTCAGACGGTTTTGCACTTGGCCGATTTCAGAAGCAAATAGCATCCATTTAACTATTTACCAGAAACCGAATCATAATATCCTTAATAATATATCCTAAATATATATATATATATATATATATATATATATATATAATTAGTCATGATTTTGTCCCAAAGATATACAAGTTATGAAATCGCATCTAAAACGTGGAGACAAGATACAGCATAGATCTATTTATCTGCCCGGATCGGAGCACTATAACTGCCCAAACTGACCTCTTACTCATCTTAAAGCTAGTTTGATGAGACAAAGAAACCTGAAGAAAACCTGAGAAAAAAAACCTAAGAACCCGATCTGGGCGGATCGGAGCACTATATCAACTTAAAGCTTTCCTAAAGCTTTATTGTTGACACATGATCCATTTTTCGGCCCGGATCGAAGCACTATATCTCCGCAAACTAGTCTCAAAGCTAACTTGATGAGACAAAGAAACCTGAAACCTAAAATCGCAAACATACGTTCATCTTTTCGGGCGGATCGGCGCTCTATATCATCTTGAAGCTTTTTTTTTTTTTTGATATGGCATAGATCTGTCATTCCGGCCGGATCGTAGCACTAAATCAAATAGCTGGCATTTTGGTGATGGGTCGAAATTTACATTCTTTCGCGCCTTTTCTCAAGGCAGCCTATGATAATCCATCGAGACTTTTTGCTCATGCTCAAAGATTCCGAATGTTCTTTATTCAACACAGCTACCCAAGAGTTGTGTGATCTGCCCAGAGCTCGGCTCCTCAACTGTTTCCCAGTATGTTTCATTTTTTTGCACAATATCTAGCTACTCCTTCTCCAATTTTCATAATATCGATAAGTACCGATAAATATCGATTTCGATAGATTGTGTACCTTTCCCTTCCCAGAAACAAAACCTTCAGGCTTAAACTTTGAGGCAGTGAAGCTCTTCTTCTTCTGAGACTTGCGACCATGGTGCTAACCAAAGTGAATCTTTGTCTAATCCCAAACAGTGGCCAGCATAGGCGGAGCAGGAGCAGCACAATATGGTGTACGACATGACACATCTGGCACCGGGGCCGCCGCAAAGCATCGCACTCAGCCGCTACTATATGGAGCCGGATGACGAACTGGCGGCGGCGAACAATGCGCTAACAAATGGACATGCGCATGGCCATGCCGCTGGCGAGGATTATGCGGCGAGCACAACGCTGGACATGGATCAGCGGTATCAGGCGCGCATTGCCTGCGAGACGGCCGCACAGCCGGCGCCGCCGCCGCCGCCAACGCCGGCGCCTCGACGTCGGACCACGCCCATTGCCCACCTGGATCCATCCGAGCTGGTGGGTTTGTCGCGCGAGGAGCGCCGCCGGCGACGACGCGCCACGCTCAAATATCGAACGGCGCACGCGACACGGGAAAGGATACGTGTGGAGGCGTTCAATGTGTCCTTTGCGGAGCTGCGCAAGCTGCTGCCGACGCTGCCGCCGGACAAGAAGCTGTCCAAGATCGAGATCCTCAAGCTGGCCATCTGCTATATAGCGTATCTGAACCATGTGCTGGAGACACCCTGAGACGCCGCCAACGCCTCCAGCTGCAGCCAGTTGCCAGGCGCCATGTTTCTGAACACTTCCTAAAAAAAAAAATAACCCGTAACTCAAATATATATACTAGTCTATTAGATCTTAGGTAATATGTACATTAACATTTTTTTTTTTTTTTTGAATAGCATCTAATACGTGATATTTGTTTATATCCAAGTCCAAGAATAAATCGATTATTTATATAAATATAAATAATTATGTATATATTGTACAGCATATCTTTGAGTTATTTCTATGTATAAGCGACTGGATACCCTGTAAACAAAATGTCCTCTGTTGAAAATTTCCCAATCCCAATAAATCTCCTACATAATTCGATCTTTTGCCAGGAAATTTGTCTAAATATATAGATATATCAAAAATTTCTGTATAACCCACGCGTACCCTGTAATCAAAATGTACTTGTGAGCTAATGGGATACCCTCTGGGAAATTTTATATATGGTGTCTCACATATCTTCTTCGTATTATCTGTATCTTAAATATATATTAAAACTACCCTATACGCCCTATGCGAACCAAATATTTAAGATAATCCGCACCATAAAGTTGTTAAGAGGTCGCTCTCTTCGTTATCTTAATGACATTTAAAAAAGTTAGAAAACAAAAAAAAAATTTAAATAAAAAACTAAAAGCATTTCAAGTTGTTATTATTTCCTTTATAAAAGATTTACAGGCTTAGCTCTCACTACAGGGTATCCCGAATGCAGTCATTCACAATGTAAGCCATCTCCTGATTTATAATTTATATTTTTATAATTTCCTTTAAATTCTGGTCTAACGTCTTGTTGCCTGTGTTTCGTTTACAGGGTATTCCCTAGTCCATCAGCTTGGCACATTTGTGCCGTTTTATTTGTTATTTTGCGGACTGAATGGCTCAGCTGGCGTTGCCAAGTTTTTCATTTGCTTTGCTGTCTGCAAACAAGCAGCCAGCTGCGGCTCAAACGCCCCAATTCCCCCCACCCCGCTCCCCACAGCCACTCTCCTCCCTACATAAGCTTATTGTCTCTCTCTCTCTCTCTCTCTCTCGTTTGGCTGCTGTGCGCACTGCAAGCCACGCCCCCAAGAAACGCCAAAATTATTTTGAATCAATGTGGGTGTTGCCCGTTACGTGTGTCTATGTGTGTGTGTGTGTGTGTGTGTGTGCGTGCCTGTTCCTTTGCCTGCCTGTCTGTGTGCGTGCGTGTGTGTGAGGTGCTTCGAAATAGTTCTCAATACACATGAATTTTATATTCCGTTGAAATAGTTTCTAAATCGAGCCATTGAAGAATTTATTTTCTGTAATCCTTTGTCAAAATTCGAAATTCTTTGTACAAATGTCGTTCAACTTTAGCGCCATGCAGGTGAGCCTTCCAAAAATTGCGATTGAAAAACAAAACGGATGCTGCGGTTGCATCGCTGCGACCGCGTTGCCACCTGTGCACTTTTGCTGCTGTCTGGCAGCGCTGCGGCGACCCAATTGAAGGCGCCATTGCGCCCGTTGTCCGGGCTCGCGTTGCTTGAGCGGGCGGTAACAGAAAATCGCTTGGTACGAGTCAAATGTATACCAAGTTGTTGTCAAACAGTCGAGCTATCTAAGGGCACGACTAGTCTATACCCTGTAAAACAGCTGTCAGTTGTCAAAGAAGCCTTTTGGTCAAAGAAATTCATTGAAATCGAATTGGCGGCAATCGGCCATATAAAGCCCAAGTTGTCTAACGGTAAAGCTGTATGCACGACTAGTCTATACCCTGTAAATCAGCTATCGCTTGTCAAAGAAGCCTTTTGGCATAGCAATTCCTTGTACAATTCCTGTACTAGTTTGTACACTTGTTTTAGAGGCCCATTCAACTAATCTGCAATGCATTTTTTTGCTTAATGCTCAATAGTTGTAATTTTTGGATATACACATTGTAGGCCTTTATAAAACCCACTTTATAGGAGTTTGCTAAACGTTCACAAGGCCAACAACTGTATTATAAACATGGCAACCGGCCCAGCGTGGCCCCAATCTGGGCTATGTTTAGCCCGAGCAACCGTTAAAATGCCAATAGGGCCCCAACTTGTCTCTTGTCTGAGTACCAGGCTCTACAAATAAAGGGCACACCAAGACAGGCGACAAAATAACCGCATACCGCATCTAGGAAAGGTCAACAATTGGCAAAGGCCCATTGATAATTGACCCGATTTGGGCCTTAAATGACCTAAGAGTAAATAAAGTAGCGGAAAATGGACTTGGCTTTTGTTAGCTCGGTAAAAAGTAGGTCTATAGAGTTGGAAAATTCCAAACAAATTTACAATATATTCTGCAGAAGTACAAAATTGAACAAACTCCAAGTTTGGATATTGTATACCTTCTATTGCGATTTTGAAAACACACCTTAAGCTATATGTGCTCTACATATAGTTTAATTGGCAATTTCTAGTTACATTAGTTTTCAGTTTTCGACGCCTTCGTCGCCTGTCAGCTGCGCTGTGCCTGTGTGCGTGTGTGTGTGACGCGTACGCAGCTTTTGCATATTCTCCCCATTCCAACATTTGCCGCTTCTTGTCACTTATGCTTCCGTTACCAATTCAATCGCCCCGCCCCCCACCCCTCCGCAACGATGCCTAGAGCTCGAGACTTCAGCAATTTTGCCAAATAGCGACAGTCGAGTTTTATTTACTTGGTAACGGTAGGTAACGAATACAGTTATTGAGGCCCAACCAATTGCCATGCAACAACACATGCATACAGTTATTTTGGCATTACATATTTTGTTTGCGCTTGCCATAAACAAGACGCGAAACTCTGTCCAACGGAATTCAACGTTACGCGCACAGTCCAAGCGGACACTGCAGGCGCTCAAACCAGTGTTGTGTATCGCTTCCTTAATTATTTGTCGTTTTTTTTTTTGATTTTCATTTTTTTTTTTGATGAGTAACACTGCCCTTGCCCTGGTTGCATTTAATGGCATTTCAATTGGAATTACATGTGGACAGCTGTTTTGGACGAGCTGCTCGCGGCAAAATTGATTGGAAAAACGGCAAAGTGAAGAAAATGGCAAAGTGAAAACTCGGTTGAGCAGTGCGTGAAATTAGCTTAAGTGTTGCCCATCTCTCCAGCTCTCGACAACAACAGGCACGCCTCGTAAGTGTTTGACGAGTGGGGCAGGGGCAGGGGGTGATGGGTGTGCGGAGTGCGGGCTGCGGGGTAGCTGGTGCACCAGTCGTCGCTGCACGTGCAGCTCCGGTAGCTTTTTGACTGTCTAATCCTGCAGCATGTGATAAATTGCACCCCAGAGGGTTGACATAAAAATCATCGCCATGGCTAAGGGTTTGTCCGGTCGGGTGAATGGTGGGAGGTGGTGGGGGAGGGGGGGATTCTGGTTCGCAATTGTCCCGTTATCTGTCTGGCATTGTCAAGCTATTTTTGCCCAACAGTTGGACGCCTCGACAGCCTTTGTTGCTAATTGAGTTTAAAATCAATTTGTATTTTACGCTTGGTCAAGTAGCTCCGGGATCGATGAGCCGCAATCCAGCCCCGGCCCACCCGGGCTGTTGTGTAATTGCCGTGCAAATTTAATTACAATAGCAACGCCTCACAACAACAGGCCCACGCTCCCCGGTCCTGTTTTCACCCTGGCCACGGCATCTGCATAGAGCTAAAGTCTATTCCGACGTGCTGCGCCCGGTTCGCACGCACTCAATCAGGCCCGAGCACATTCCTCACACAGCCTCTTCATCAAGTGTTGACAACTCTGCCACGTGCTGTGGCCGTGTGGGCGTCGGGGTGTCGGGGCGTCGGGGCGTGGCCTGGCGTATTGTATTACCAGCCGCAATTTGCATTTGTTCTCGCCTTAATTGAAATGACGTGCGCGTGGGAAGCTCCGGCAAGAAGCAACTTTCTTTGGCATCCGAACCGGCTGCTGCACTTGCTCGATGCAGCGCTGCAGAAGCTGCAGCAACAGCTGCTCACCGAAAGCTGTGCTGATAAATGATTCCACATGACTTTAAACCATGGCTGAAGGCGAGCCAAGGACTTAACGTCTGCCAGCAATTGCCAGTTCCAGTTTTAGATACCCTAGGGTCAGGCTTAAACGGGGTCGCTCGATTGACAGTCGAGTTTAGTAAACGAGCTGCAGATAAAAAGTTATCAAAGCTATTTACTAAATTCCTAACTAATTATATTAGATATTATGCCAAGCACGGCGCATTCTTGTTTTTGAATTTGTCACAAGTGTAAAATAGATATCTAGGGTATATTGCAGTCGTGTATTTGATTGGAGTTGTTGTTTCTGTTTTGCGTCTGTTTAAAAAGGCAAACACAAACAAGGCATTAAGTGGCATTAGACAAAATGCCTTTTTTACACATGTTGCAGCACGGAGATTACGATTACGCCGTGTAATCGTCGCATTGGGGGTTGCTCGAGGGTTGGGTTCGGCTTCTGTTTCATTTTTTATGGGCTTGGCATTTTATCAATTGGTTTGCTTAGCGGCCATAAATAACAGTTTTAGTTGGCTATCGAAACAGGTGGCCGACTGGCCCACCTAGCTTAACTCTCTCCCTCTCCCTCTCTCTCTATCTATCTCCGTCTCTGTCTTTGCAGTACGAGCGCGGCTTTCGCGCGAAAAGCGTCAGCAATTGGGAATATCCGCGCTTCTTTGCGCCCCGTCCACGCAGCCTGAAGGGCAACTCGAAGCCCGTTGCCGAGAAGAACGGACATCTGCTGGCCACAGCAGCTCGGTAAGTCCAACCAGCCGGAGCAGCTGCATCACACACACACACACACACACACACATTAATCTATGCCCACAGTGACGGCAACTTTTTGGGCCAATATCGGGGCACATATCACCTGCCGTTGCGCATCACGCGCAGCTTTGCCAGCTTGTACAATCGCTGCCTGAGCGGCAGGCACAAATATTGGAAATATCCGCGCGATCTGTGCTGTTGCCAGCTGGAGCGACCGCATCCGTGTGATCTACAGAAGACGCTGGGCAGAAAGGACGATCCGGCCTGGCAGCGTCCCAAGTGCCAGACCAAGTGTGAGGGCCTCAACCAGATGCTGGCCATCAACGAGCTGCATCTCAAGTGCAAGCGTACCAAGTGCCAGCCGCGGGTGAGTAAATCGAATCAATCAATCAATTATCCTGCACCCAACCACCTGCACCATCCACACACACACACACACACACACCCACAGCCCAATGAGAAACTGATACCACGCGTCGGTGACGCCTCGTCACGGTATCGAAAGAAGCTGCGCAAGCGTCCGGTCACCGCCTTCGAGTACAATCGTCGGGGCACTGTTGCGCAAGAGGAGCCGACCTCCGATAAGACCAAAGCGAAACAGATCACAAAGGATGCGGCCAAGGCACCGGCCGTAACTTCAAGTCAAACCAAGTCGACGGCCAAGTCACCCACCAAAGCGCCAACCAAATCAAATCCAAAATCCAAGTAATGCCCTTTCAATAAATCCATTGCACCCATAACCTGGCGGTTCTGTTATTCCAATCTTCTGTTAATTCCTAAACAGATCTCCCACTGGATATTGCCCAGTTTCCTGCTTTTCATAATATTGCCAACTTTGTCGGTCAGTCAGCTAGTCAATCAATCAGCCTAGCAGCTATTCCAACAATCAATCAGCCTGCAAACTGGTCGTAGGGACAGCCAATCAGTCAGACAGTAAGTCAATCTCTCAGCGAAACAGTCAGTCAATCACTTAGCCACAGTCATTCAGTCAATTCGTATCAATCTGGTAACTAGTCAGACAACATGTCAGTCTGTCAATCAAGCAAATAAGTCAATCAGTCAGCTAATCAGCTAATCAGCAGGCCAATCAATCAATTTGACAATCAATCAGTACGTCAATCAGTTGTATATATAGACAAGCACTGCACAGAGAACATAGCACACAAAATGCCAACTATATTTCCACATGTATCCACAATCACCATCATCAATCAGCATCAATCAGCATCAATCATAATCAATCATCAATCCGCATTAATCAAAATCAATCATCATCGATCATCAATCATGCGGCATTTTGAATCCCATTTCCAATAACAACAAAGAAAAACGCTAATTGAGACCTAAATCCTGGATCTCTTGGATCATGTCGCAAGCAGCTGTCGTAAATAGCGGCAATTACAAGTTGCCGGATCTGAGCTATACGCCGGGCGATTTAACGGAGCCGGAGTACCGATTGCCAACGCACCAGCAGCTGCTGGAGGAGAAGAAGCGCGCGCCGCAGCATGGCCTGGAACGGGAGCTGCTGCCACTGAGCCGACTGTATTTGGCGGAGCAGGAGGACAAATATCCGGCAGCACAGGCGGAGGAGTCACGTGCGATCACCTCGGCGGCGGGACGACAATTTCCGGCGCTAGCCGCCGCGCAGGCCAAGTACACGGGTCAGCTGAACGGCAGCAACAGTCACCGCGCGTCCGAGCTGGATTTTGTGCCCGGCAAGGATCTGATCTCGCTACCCAGTGTCCAGGCGCCGGCGGAAGCGGAGCCAGCGCGAAAAATGCCGCTGCACTCGATCACAGCGAAGCCAAACGAGCGCTGCCCCTCGCCGGTGGTGCCGGCCTATGCCAACTTCGAGCTGGCCAAGCGCATGCATCAGGACAATCTGGATCACCAGCCGCTGCCCGATTGCGTTGCGGATCTGGCGTATCGCCGGGCACAGATTGGCGGCGCCCATGGCGGGCTCGCGCTAGACATTGATCCGATTGCGACGGGCGTGGGCATTAAGACACACAATGCGGGACCGACTCACTGCACCAAGATGAAGGTGTTCCGGCCAAAGACGGGCGGCGTCCTGCCCAAGGCATTGGCCGGTGACAATTATCGCGGCATTGGCTCGGCGCCCGCCAAGAAAATGGGCGCCATGGATCTGGCCATTGGCTGGGACTTTAAGCCCATCAATCCGGAGGATGAGCCGCGTCTGGCTAGGCACATAGACGGCTCCAATGATTCCGCCGGCCCGGCTGTGTTCACGTGCGTGAAGACGCCACGCGACGATCCGCCCGCTGGCGCGGAGTTGGGTCGCTCGGCGGGCGTCTTTACCAGCACCCTGGGTGAGCCGGATTTCTTTGACAAGGATCTGCTGCGCCGCAAATCCGACTTTGCGGGACGCGCCATCGAGCGCGAGGAGAACTGCGCCTGTGACTATTCGCCGCCAACACGAGCGCGCAGCGTTTCGCGCGATTCCAGCGCCTCGCATTGCCGGCGAGCTCCATCTTTTGGTGGAGGAGGAGGAGGAGGAGGAGGAGGAGCAGGCGGAGGCGGAGGTGTTAGCTTTGGCCTGCCCGCCAATCGGCTGGCCAAGCAGTATCAGTCCACGCCCCTGCTGGGCGATCAGGCTTACCAGGCGCTGCGTGAAAAGTACCTCGGCCCGGACACCGACTCGCCGCATGGCTGCCATACGGTTGCCGCCTCCGGCTGCAAGCGGGATCAGCTGCTGCGCCGACCGGCGCGACGCCTCTGCCACAAGGTGGCGCCGGCGCCCAACTGCTGCCCCGCCGCCCATAACTGTGATCATGGTCATGGCCATGCTCATCGTGGTCATGGACAATGTTTGACCAGCAAGGCGGCCTTTCGCGCTGGCATGCCCAGGCTGAATGCCAGCGGCGATTTTGTGGGCATCTCACCTGGCTGCGGCGGTGGCGGCGGCGGTGCTGCTGCTGGTCGCGTTCTGGTCGTGCCACGCCCCCGCCAGCCATATGCAAAGAAGAACTATGACATCGATACGCTGGTGCCGCCATTTCGCAGCCAGGGCGGCGGCGCTGGGCAGGGCGGCTATCCGGAGCACTGGCGTCTGGCCAGCGTCTATCAGCACGCCTACAAGCCGATCGAACAGCGCCGGCGACCGCTCCTGCAGACCGTCTACAAGTAGATGGGGGGCTTCCCAACACCAGAATTCCGCCTCCTGTCGAGGATCTTCCGGGCTCTTAAACGTCTCCCAATTTATTATCTAGACTCTTATTTTATTGATGCGGGAAGCTTCAAGTTCCATTTACCAAGGCCTTAAAGTAGCAACTAAAAAAGAACACAAGACAAAATGGCGTCCATAAGTTAGGTTATGTTGAGGTAATCAGATATTATAATTTGAGCTCTTCCAGATAGATGTAAGCATCTTAGAGCCCAGACCTAATTAGGGTCTTAGGGCTCTTCTTTACTATCTTCTAATACCATATACCAAGGCTCAATTGTAGAAAGAAACAAAAACAAAATGGCGCCCATAAGTTAGGTTATGTTGCAGTATATAGTTTTAAGGACTTTGATTCATAAAACAGCCTTCTAAAATTTGGGCACTCGCAGAAAAGGACCAAGACCTTCAGCTAAAAGTAACCTATTTATAACCATGCAGAGGGTACTTTATTTTATAAGAAAAATATAGATGGAAAGTTCCAGGACTCCATTGAATAAATATGTATACCTGATCAACAGCCGAGTCGATAGAGTCTGTCCGTTTTATAGTCCCTCAGCTTGAAGGAATCCTGAGGGAAGTTTTCGTAGGTTCCCAAATGCAATGATCAAAAGTCGAATTCTTCTATCAGAAAGTTATATGCTGTTCAAGATATCTTAACCAAACGTTAAACTTAGGCTCCTTACATATGATCCAAGCCCGTATCCACATCGGAGGACTTTGTCATATAGCTTCATAGGAAGAATACGTTTTTTAGATCCAAAGCCTTTTTTGTTTTTCACAGATATCATTTGGCATTTAAAAGTTTCACTATGGTCCCTAAATATGTTCTAAATCTTGGCGATAATCTAATATTATATATATATATATATATATATCTCACAACTTTCATAGGAATGATCTATAAAAATATACTTCACAAGAAACTATGGGAAACATCTATGAAAAAGTAAATTTTCCTATTTAGGATATCTTGATATCTATAATATCGGCATGCCGACCAAATTCATTCTTTCCCGTTACATAACCTCACTTTTAATATATAAATACATTTAAAACTAAATATTTTTTTGAAACAAAAACTATCAGAACGCCTTACGTTAAACACATAGAAAATAATTTGTTCACATTCAAGTAAAAGTTTGTTTAAAATTGTGCATATATAACGTTTATGTAAAAAAACAAATGTATAAAAGTGCAATATACATAAAAAAAAAAAATTATCAATAAATGTGCAAAACAAATCCAAAATTTCGATTTTTATAAAAGTGTGAGGTCGCATTAAAAAAGTATCGAACCAGAAAACTGGCAAAATATTTGTATAACTTTCAGATCGTTTCTGAGAGTTCAGAAATAAATTCCAGAATTAATTTATAATTAAATTAACATATACAAAAATTAAGTTGAGCAAATGTAATGCCGATCAATAAATAAAATCTATTCTTAAGCCGAGTTCAAACTTTCCCAATAAATATCTCTTATTTTGTGGCGCAAAAAGAAAATTCAAGCACATTTCAAATCTTACAAAAATTAAAAAAAAAAACGATTTAACATTTGATCAAGATAAGTTCAGATTGTGCTATATATGGCGGTATATAGACATTCGGCTCTTAAATCAAGAAAATGTAATGCTATTCAAAATTCTATTTGGAAAAAATTCGGCTTGTCTTTCGAGATATTATCTGGCAGCATGTGGATACAACGTTCTATTTCTTCCAGGTACTGTTTACCTGATTACGAGGATTGTTCAATCTTGCAAGGGTATTTAATATTCGGCTTTAAAAGTAGCTAAATTCAATGCTGAAAACAGCCAAAAATAGCTGCACTATCCGCCGTAGCTGCCAGCTAAAACTTAAAATAGATAGAAAAAAAAATACGCAGCCAAACTTCGGTTTGGTTGCATTGTAGACAATCTTTGGGTGCTAAAGAACATGTTTTAGGTTTTATGCCTGGGCACAGGTAAATAGTGCTGTTGTTCACTTGGCCGTCGCATAGGCATCCTGGCTCTTGTGGAACACATGACGGAGCACGTCGCGCGTGGATCGGCGAATGCTGTTGCGCAGCGTGTGCTTCTTCTCGTTGGTCAGCTGCTCGATGCGCATATATTCGGTTTGCGGTATGCTAGAGCGCAGCTTCATTGTCCGCTCGCTGCTATCCACGATGGAGATGTCCGCCTGGGTGTACTCCTCCACGGGCTGGGGCTTGTGCGGCCGTCGGCGCAGGCTGTGCCGTATGCTGCTCATGATATTGTTGTGCGGCTGCGTTGCTGGCTTCTCCGCGGACTCCAGCGGCTGTTCCTGCTGCTGCGGCTGCTGCATGGGATGCATTAGCCTGCGTATGGATTTGCGTATCATGTTTCTGACGCCATGGCCCGCGCTGCTGGCCTGCAGCTCCGCAGATTTGGACGATTTGCTGGATGCTATCGAATGCAGCGATTCCTTGCTGCCGGCAACTGTTGCTGCCGGGCGGTAGGCGCGCACGAACCTTGCCGGCGCCTTGAAGTCCAGCTCAATATCATTCTCTTCCTCCGGTTCGGATTCAGAAGCATATGCCACATCGCCGCTTTCCAGGTCCTGCTCGACAGTTGCGTGATTGGGCTCCTGCTCGACAACTGGCGGTTGAGATGGCAGCGCCTGCTCGACAATTGCTAGCTGAGGCGGCAGAGACTCCTGCTGCACTGACTCCTCTGGCTCCTCCGGCGCCTCCATGATCTCGGTCAGAGTGTGTCTGCGCGTGCATACAATGCGTTGCTCCAGCTCTAGCGACGGTTTCTGCTCCAGCACCACCTCCAACTCCGTCTGCTTTGTCTCCAGCACAACGCCATTCTTGCGCAGCTTGGCCTCGTTAATGCTGTTCTCCAGCTCCAGCTGATAACGATCCAGTTCCTTGCCAATATCCATGCTGCTGCTCTCCTCGCTGATGGCACCCAGCGACTGTTTAGCCGGCGGTAGCACGGGCGAGAAGACCAGCTTTTCGGCAAGCAGCTTGCTGGGCGTCAGCTGCGCCAGCGACATGCCATGGAAATCAATGCGGCAGCCCAGTGTGGGCGTGAATGGTAGCCCAATTTTTAGGCTCGTCGGCAGCGGCTCATCGGCCAGTGCGGGATTGGCAACGCCCGACGGATTGCTAGCTGCAGTCGAGATATCGCTGCGACGATGTATCTCAAAGGGATTCAGCGAGGCGGGCGCATCGCTGCCTCGCAAATTGAGCGCCTCGTTGACAAAGCACTTGGTGGGCGTGGCAACGCTACGTACCACCTGCAACAGGAAGTTGACCGTTATGCGGCATATATAGAGGGAGGTATTAAAGCAATCTTACCTCGTAGGGATTGAACTGACGCTCGGGTAGCTCGAGATTGAGACCCGGATTCTCAAAGCAGGCGTGCTCGCGCTTCTTTTTCTTGGAGGGCTGACGCACAACTTCAAAGGGATTGACTGGTAGCTTCTGCTGCTGTTGTTGTTGTTCCTTCTGCTGCTGCACGACCGATAAGTCCGCAATAGATTTAATTTCCAGTCCAGGCTGATTAATAAACGGATTTAGGCTCTCATTCTCTTTGAGCAGACGACGACGTCCGACAAGTTTCTTTGGCGTCGAGCTAAATGCAGCGTTGGTGAAGCATGACGACGCACTAGCTGCAACAGCAGCTGCCACTTCGCTTTTTAAGGGTGGCGGCAACGGGGCACAGCCAGTTTCCCGTTTGCGTTTGCGCGGCGTCTCGTTGAATGCTAAAGCAGAGATGCTCTTGGTTTCCAGCATTTTTGACAACTACGATTGCAATTCAATTAACGTATAAGCACACCTTTAAGTACGTTTATCTAATCACACTTTTTTTTCTCACTTGCATAAAGGAAATAACTCACAAACAATAAATGTACACAAAAGCCAATTGTACGTCTTATGCGATGCGCACCATTTTGAACTCAGAAACTGAGTGTTGCAAAATGCTCGAAACTAACCGATAGACTCCGCGATAGCTAAGTGCGCAATTTCATTGTGAATATCAAGTGATAAGGAAGCAGAACGCTCATCTTTGCGCAATTTTTAAATTTTTCTTTAAGTGACCAATTTTCAAATTACTTCTTTTATAGCTATAACATTTAGCGTTTATGTAACTTAAACACTCATTTGGTTATTTATAAATGTTTATATATGTAAGCATATGAGCATGAATATATCGATATGTTAACTATCGTGGTTTTTTGGTGCTTAAAACAAGTGTATAAAGTTTCCTACAAGTGTTTTTAACTCATCAAACGGCTTTTTAATTTGTATTCAAATTTATTTAGGCAAGATTTCTATTAAAACCATTCATAAAAATATACATCGATAGAAGGCAAGATATATCGATAGGCGGCTTGCGATTATTTCAACGTAACACGTGTGCGGCGACCAAAACGGTAAAAGGCGAAAAGTAGCAGCAATTTTTTCAGCTGCTGTTGGTGTGTGTGTGTTCGGTGTGTTCCTGTTCCGTTGTAAAGCAGCAGCCCGTCGACTAGCAGCAGCCCCCCAGAAGCCCGGACCAGCGTTAAAAAAGCTCAACAAATGCAAATTGGTTTCGATTCTTGTGCGTGACACGTTTAGTTTTTTTTATATCATCCAAAATTTAAAGGTGAGATGTTGTGCTATATTAAACAGCCGTGGAAAATTCAATAATGCGCATACACATGTATATATATATATATATATATATATATATATGCACATAAATGTCTTTGAGCATGTGTGAGTGCGCGTGTGTGTTGTAACAGTCGGGCAAGTGTGTTGTCTAACGCGTGTATGTGTTGCAATTTCACCCCTTTCCCCGTATCGAACTGCACTTCTGTTCCCACCTACTGCAGTATATCAGCTGCAGCGGAATTCCTTTGTGCAATTCGTACAAAGCGAACGCGCGGCGTCTCCCGTCAACCAAAAGTGATTCATTCAAAAATGCGCTAATGTAGGTGAAATGTGGCTCAGCAACAAGAAAAAAGGCATCAGTCGGCGACGCGGCGCAAATTGTTAAAACGTATTTTGAAAAAAAAAAAAAGAAGAAAGGTAACGCGTTGCTCACCGATTTGGCGTTTTATTGAAACAGTTGCTTCTAACACGCATGTGGCGCCATCTGCTGTCGAGACAGCAACGTCTGCTTTTGCAGTAAATTTCCGCTGCCCGCTTCACATGTTCTTTTCAATATTGAAACTGGATATAGAACACAGTGTTGCAAACGCCAATATTTGCGCTTGTATAGGTGATCACAAATCAGCAGTGTCGGCGGCACTTTTCATACTGCTTCCTCTTCTCGATGCGGCTTTCGCTGCACAATTCGTGTTTCCCTGCGAAGAGCCGAAGTGTGCTTTCTAAAAGCACGAAGTTATCAAGCGTGTCGAAATTCCAATTTCGTAAAGATATTTCTAATCAAAAAATAGTTTCTCTTGTCTAAACATATATTTAAAAACTGACTGATTGCCTGAACCAAGGCACGACTAAACACGTTTTTTAAATTTAATCAGCACTCAGGAAGGGTTTTTCAAAATCAGCCGAAAAGCATGGAATTTGGGTGAAAAGCTGCAGATCGTAACGTATTCATTTTTCTTTCAATTGTGTCACGAACTAATTATCTTTTTTAATACCTGTATTTGAGTATCAAAATTGTCGGCGGCTTAGCATTAAACAAAATTTAAAGCTCTACATTTGAAAAACGCGCTATTCCTAACTTGTCCTCAATCCACACTGACGTGCGAAAAATGGGTGAAAGCGAGAATGAGTGTTAACTGAATTCGGCACAGGCAAAGCTTCCGTATATTGCCCAGACAGTTAACATTATTAATGTTAATTTTACGTATTTATCTAGTATTTTATGCTAAAAATGTTAACTGTTTTTTTTTTCCTTTCTTGTCATTTACAGCACTCACACACGCACACACACACACGTACATACACAGGCGCAGGCGTGCACATACAGGAACTTATATAGATATCATATTTATATTTTAGGCAAAAACAAAACATACATATTTCGATTTGGATACCCAAAAGTATTGTTGTATAACACATAACGTACAGAGAATAGCAGCATAAGGAAGGAGCAGAAGTTAAAAGGAAAAGGGGAGCCAAAATGCCATCGGACGCTAAGAAACGGGATGCGCAACGCAAAAAGGATGCGCGCAACAAGAAGATCCAACAGATACCATCCACAAAGAAATCAAACGGCACAGCCAATGGCCTCGACCGTGAAATGACCGAGGAGGAGAAACTGTGCGCCAAACTGGAGGAGGAGGCGCGCATCAGTGCGGAGGCGCGCTCCTGCACCGGTTCGCTGGCCGTGCATCCGCGATCGCGTGATGTGAAAATTGCCAACTTTTCGATAACGTTCTTTGGCTCCGAGCTGCTGCAGGACACAATGCTTGAGCTGAATTGCGGGCGGCGTTATGGTCTGATCGGCCTGAACGGCTGCGGCAAATCATCGCTGCTGGCGGTGCTCGGTGGACGGGAGGTGCCCATACCGCCGCACATTGATATATTCCATTTGACGCGCGAGATACCAGCGAGCACGAAGAGTGCACTGCAGTGCGTCATGGAGGTGGATGAGGAGCGCATCAAACTGGAGAAACTGGCCGAGGAGCTGGCCATGAGCGATGAGGATGATGCCCAGGAGCAGCTCATCGATATCTATGAGCGACTCGATGACATGTCCGCTGATCAGGCCGAGGCCAAAGCGGCGCGAATTCTACACGGTCTCGGCTTCGACAAGGCCATGCAACAGAAGCAGGCCAAGGACTTTTCAGGTGCAGATTCGTTTCTCTCTCTCTCACACTCACACACACACACACAACTATTTGCTAATCCGTGTTGCTTCTGTTTGATAGGTGGTTGGCGCATGCGAATCGCTTTGGCGCGCGCTCTATTTGTGAAGCCGCATCTGTTGCTGTTGGACGAGCCGACAAACCATTTGGATCTGGATGCCTGTGTGTGGCTGGAGGAGGAGCTGAAAACGTATAAGCGCATTCTGGTGCTCATCTCGCACTCGCAGGACTTCCTTAATGGCGTCTGCACGAATATCATCCATTTGACGGGCAAACGTCTAAAGTACTATACGGGCAACTATGAGGCTTTTGTGCGCACACGCATGGAGCTGCTGGAGAATCAAATGAAACAATACAATTGGGAGCAGGATCAGATAGCGCACATGAAGAACTATATTGCACGCTTTGGTCACGGCTCCGCCAAGCTGGCCAGGCAGGCGCAGTCCAAGGAAAAGACTCTTGCCAAAATGGTCGCCCAAGGTCTCACCGAGAAGGTAACTGACGACAAGGTTCTCAACTTCTATTTTCCCTCGTGCGGCAAGGTGCCGCCGCCCGTGATTATGGTCCAGGTGAGTTGTAGCCACTTCAAATGCTCCAAAGGCACATTCAAATAATGCTTGAATTCTTCTCTTCCATTGGCTAACAGAACGTCAACTTTCGATATAACGACGAGACACCTTGGATCTATAAGAACCTAGAGTTTGGCATTGATCTGGACACGCGTCTGGCTCTGGTGGGGCCAAACGGAGCTGGCAAATCGACCTTGTTGAAGTTGCTTTATGGCGATCTGGTTCCCACCTCGGGCATGATACGCAAAAATTCGCATTTGCGTATTGCACGCTACCATCAGCATCTGCACGAGCTGCTCGATCTGGATGCCAGTCCGCTCGAGTATATGATGCGCGCCTTTCCCGATGTCAAAGAGAAAGAGGAGATGCGCAAGATAATTGGACGTTATGGTTTAACCGGACGACAGCAGGTGTGCCCCATACGTCAGCTATCGGATGGTCAACGTTGTCGCGTTGTATTCGCCTGGCTGGCCTGGCAGGTGCCGCATCTTCTCTTGCTTGACGAACCGACCAATCATTTGGACATGGAGACCATTGATGCACTGGCGGATGCCATTAACGATTTTGATGGTGGCATGGTGCTAGTTAGTCACGATTTCCGTCTGATCAATCAGGTTAGTTACAGCTCGAACATGCCTGACTCTGACTCGAACAGATCGAACTTCGTTTGAATGAAACGAACTTCGTTTGATGTATCGTTTCGAACTCAACTCAATGATAGATAAAAATTCTAAACTGTTGATTAATTCTTCTGCAGGTGGCCGAAGAAATTTGGGTATGCGAGAAGGAGACGGTGACCAAATGGAAAGGCGGCATTTTGGACTACAAGGATCACTTGAAGAATAAAATTACCTCCGAGAATGAGAAGAAGGCCAAGGCGGCGAATAAATAGATTGCACACAACACACACAACACACACTCAACACACACAACACACACTCAACACACACAACACACACTCACACACTCAATACAGGCATAGGTTGATCCTCTTTCTAACTCTTTCGCTCGCTCGTTCTGCGCCTCGCTCTTTCTTCCATAAGCATGCGTGTGTGCGTTGTGCGAAATTAGTTTTGAGTTTACACTACGCTATAGTCAAGTCATGTAAACTGTTCAACATCAATAAACTACACACACACACACACACACACATACACAACAAACACAAACAAACAACAAAAACAACACACAAATTTATAGGTGAATTTTTTTCCGTTTTCTGTGTCGATTTAAATTAAATAAAATGTGAGTCAAAAAAACAACCAACAAAACAACAACAACAACAACTACAAAACTGCTTGTGATCTTGAGTTAAAGCCACGTTTTCAATATATTGTTCACAAATACAAATACACACACATACACATACACACACACACACTGTAACACATTCATGTTGTGCACAACAAACTGTACAAAATATTGCAAACGTGGCTTTGGCTATTTAATTTTTTTTTTTTTTTGTATTTTTTATTATTATTTCTAAAATAAATAATATAATTTTTATTTTCAAAATAAATAATTCTTTGCTAGGTTTCAAATTGTTTAACACTCGAAAACTATACAAAAATACAAAAACA